GAAGCCAGATGGAAGCTGTGGAGCTGCGCTGTGAGTGTGTGCTTCCAATGTCTTGGCACGGTGGCACCCATCTTTCCTTGCGCGCTTGCTTGGCTTGACCTCCCTCCCGTTCAGACTTCTGCCCTCCTCCACCAATTGCCTGGCGGCGCCAAGCTGATTGTCCGCCACAATGCTGTCGCCTCCCGCCTGCCCGCTGCAATATCAATGTTCCAGGTAATGACTGCCTGTCTGCTTGACACCAAGACGCCCGTTCTCGAAGCAAGAAGTTGGTTGGGTGGGTCTGCGTGGGATGTTTTTCTATTCTGCCTCGCCTGCCTGTCCTTGTTCTGTTCCCAATCCAGCAATCCGAGCTTCCTTCCGTACATTACGGATCCGATGTTCGCCCGGCGTCTATTCCTACATCCCGCAGGTAAGGGTACGAAGGTAGGCGCAGAGTCCCTTACAGAATCCAGGTACTGCCCTGCGGTGTGCGGTGGTAGTTGTCTCGCTGACCGTCAGACCGTCTCTCGCCGCCCGATCCCTGCCTCGCCCTTGTTGGTTCGGATATCTCATCGCGGGCAGGTAGCTAAGACAACGGCCTAATCTAGTCACAAAGCGCCAGCAGACCGCCTCGAAAACGCCATCGTCACCAAACGTGGCTTCGACACCCGCCTCGCCCGTCTTCATGAAACGGAAAGAGCCAAGGCTCGACGTCTGGAGGCTTGTTGTCTGTTCAGCTGCCAATCTGCCTTGCCTGGGTTCCGTTCTCGCCATGCCTATTGCCCATCACTCACTACAGCCAACGAAAGTGATGCTTGTTTGCGCTCTGTACGGGCATGATTGGCGGACCCCCACTACTCATATCGACGATGATGGACACGTCGAGGCCAAATGGTTCACATTGCCGCCTCCAAGGCGATGCAGCCGGCGGTCATGGGCAGAGTCAATCAGGAGACCGAGGAGGAGGGCGACGCGGGGTTGTCCCTAAGCCCGCATCTGAAGTGGCATTCAGACCATGATCAGCACTTGCTTCTCCATCGCCATGTGCGACATCAAGACCTGCAGTATAGCTAGGCAGATTGCTTCCCTTCACCGAACCATCCCCGCAACCTCAGCCTGCACCTGATGGCCAAAATCTCACGATATGTTCGGGCGGGAGTGCGGGCGGTATCCCGCGCAGTCCATCACACGGGGAACCCGGCAGCAGAAACACCGTCCCGCGCCTCTACGATTCTGCGCCTCATGACGGCCTTTTGGGGGTCTCGCAACTTGGCTGCCAGATGAACCAGAGAGTCTCACACATTGGGGGCATGACCCCTCCGTATTGGCATCTGCAGGCTGGCGGGAAGTCGATGCAGGCCAATTTATCCAGCACCTCTGGCAGGCCCGTTTTCACGGTTCAGTATGCCGCATGCAGCATTCTCAGCAGACAAAGGTCCTTCCAGACCTTCCAGCCCGTACGCCGAGCCGGTCTCCTGGTCTGGGCATCTCGTTCTGGAGCAGGGATCCAATCCACTGCGTCGAGTGCTCTGTCACCCCCTGGTCGGGACCCAGTCTGCTTGGGAGATCGTCACCAGGAGACACGGAAGGCAGTTTGGCAGCTGGCCCGAGCCCTGCGATGGGAATTTCTCCTGGATTGAGGGTTCGGTGAAATCCCCACCGATAAGCACCAGCCTGTGCTGCCTGCAAACCGGGATCCCGTCGTTTCTCGTTCCAGTTCTTAGCGAAGGGGCCTTTTGCTCCTGGATCGCGAGCCAAGGGCCCAAGGTGGCCTGTCTTGCCATCCCGTCAAGTCCCGGCCGTCAATTTGGACTCACGATGCCGCGCTAGCAGCGCCTTGCGTCCTCGACTGCCACTTCAGCGTGCATGACGAAGCATATGAAGCGGAAACAGGAATCAATTCATCACCATACGATATTGCGGCAAGTACCGTTCACACTGCGACTCGTCTCCAGTTTCGAGGGCTTTCAGAACCCTTCCAATAGGGGGAAACAAGACCGACAGAAGCGAAAATCGAACGGGCCGTTCACCGACTCGCTGTGGATTCTTCGCTGAAATTCAAGCGATGGCGCCTTCAACCCTGCTTTGGTTTTTTTTTTCTCCGAGTGTGTGAGACTTTTTTTCACGCGTCCACGCCCACGGTGGCTGGCAGCCAATAGGCAACGCACTAGGAGGAATGGCTCCAAGATAACGGCAAAATTACACTAAAACGCAAAACCACCGTGCAGCGGTCCGAATCCGCACCGAGTCCGGACGTACGCCGAGCGATATTCTTTCAAGATACGGACATGAGTCTCGGTCTATGGCGGTCATTCGCCGTGATCCTCCGGCCATCTTGGTTCTAGTCAGACCGTGCTTGGGATGGAATGCCTGGGCACACCCTCACCGAACTGCTAGTCGAGATTGTGTCACGGCGAACCTCAATCTCATACTCGACCGGCACCATGCTAACTCAATTGGCTGCAGCTACCCGTCGCTACAGTCAAGCTTTTTTGGTTCCCGTGAATCCTGTCTATGGTCTTGCCTGAAGTTGCGCAACGCTGTGCCGTGTTAGGCTGGCCACTCATACAACGCCCGCTCTTTTGCCTTGGCTTGCAATTCGGAGAGACTTTGAATGGTGTCAGCATATCTTTGCTGCATGATGCACTATCTCGAGGCTCAAGATATCCCAGTCCACGGATACAAACCGGCGCAGAGGGCGGGTAGCTAGCAGAAGCGAGCTCAAACCATTACCCACCACCAGCACGAATGGACGTTCACCTGCAAAGAGCGGTTGGCCCGCTCGGCCAAGTTTCATGGAAACGCGAGACGAGGCCCTTCACTTTTTGCAAGGAACCAAGGCCCAACACCCAAAGAACGTCCAGGGTCACGATGGCAGAATCGAGGTTCCAACAGCACGCGGTGTGGTTAGCGCAATTTTCAGGTTGCTCTGAGCAAACATGGCGTCCCAACGGCCCAGCTCGCCGACTGCCGCAGATGGCATCCGCAGCCACGGGTCTCCACTACACCACCACCCTGGGCGTGTGCAAAGATAGCATCATGCTTGCTCCTGATGTCAGATCAGTCGGGACCCACTGATATCAACATGACATCTCTTGCGCAGGTCGCAGTCTCTTTGGCCCTTACCTCAGCGTGCAGCGCATGTGTTTTCTCCGTCGTCTCGTCTGGGCTGCTCCGGCCTCGCCTCAGCGCACATCATGGCCTGAGCATCGTTCACTGCTCATGTTCGCCTGCGTGCGTAATCGACTGAGGTCCGTCGGAACCCAGCGAGCGGGTCGTCCGGAAATCTTGCACCGCACCGTTTTAATTTGACCGTCCGAAAAGTGCGGCAGGCCTATTGGAAGCTGGTGCAGAGCGTGCGTCTCCCTGTCGCCATACACGGCGATGAGCTCGCAAAGGTCCGAATACCCAAACAGGCCCATCGTTTCAACCATCTTGAGCCTCGATGGCCCATCTCGGGCACCAAGCTGACTCACGAAGCTTAGCCCCATCTGAAATCTCGCCAACTACCGCTTCCCATCCCCACCGCGCGCCGAAATCTCTCACCATCGGCCCTTTGCAGCGGTGAAAAACCAAGGGGGCGCGTCTCACTGATTACAAGCATCGAGACGTGAACCTTGATACCCGCCGGCCGCACTATGCAGGAGACCGCAATCCGACCTCTCATGAGCTCACCTTAAGCCACGGTGTGGGACCCAGTCTTCAGCCTTGCCTCCTGGCTCGGTTTTCCGACCTCTCATGTCTTTTAAACTCTGTTGTTGGACCTGCACACAAACCGCTCAAAGTGGATCGGCTTCCCGTTATCTACGCCTACGCCTACGCCTCCGATTACGCCTTGTCACCAAGAGAGGGGCTCACCACCAAAACCCAACCAGAGAGAAAAAAATTCAAAAATGTCCCTCGCATGCACGTGGATCTCCCGGTACGCCTGCATATGGATACACTTCAAGACGCCAGGGCAGCCTCTTGCGCGATGCTACTGCATAATACACGCATTGCGGCTGCACCACTGAAAAGTCTCCATCAACGACATCCAACAAGCCTATCAGTCTGCCCTTTCAGCCTCAAGCTTATGTCGCCGCCGTATCAGGGTTCAGTATCAACAGCATGTGAAAAAGGTATCCGCACAAGCTTTGCAAAGTTTCACAAGATTTGAGTGGTTTTCCAATGTACCCCCTTGGTTGTTACTGCGACACCCTTTTCCCTATTCCTCGTCGCATATCATAACGCGGTGGAGAATCGGGAATTACCTTTCCTTGCTTCAAGACCAACACGCACCCAATCGAATCCTCGAGGAAAGGGCATAGCCCATTCGATATTCGCATTCGACATGTTCCAGAATTCTGGACGTTGCCTATCTCTATCAGACCAGGGGGTAGGCGGCACCTTAAGAACGTTTAACCACGCGAACCGTTCGACTTTCCTTCCGACTTCTTTTCGTGCGTGGACCAGGACGTCTCGCCGGCCGGTCTTCCGCGTGCGATACCACCTGGCAACCGCATCTTAGTGCACCCGGGCCCTGTGGCGACACGAGTGCACGAAAGCAGCAGCGGCGGCGGCGGTTGGTGGGACCCCCACGCCCGCCTGGTGGCAGGCAGGCAGAGACTAATTAGCCAGAGCTCCCTCCCAGGGGTGACCCGAGAGACCAAGGGACCGCGGGTCCAGCCAGCCATGTCGAGCCCACCACGGAGCCGCATCTCGATTGTGCAGCAGATGCAGACTTTTGTCTCAAAGGGTCCTGCGGTGGGAAGCTCTGACATCTTGATCCTCATTCACATGCACAGCGAACGTCATGATCATCCCGTCCTCATGAGAGACGCGTACATCACGATTTCGAACCGCAAACACTACCGCCTGCCACTTGAATAGTTTCCTGCGTGCATAATTATTTTCGTGTCGGACCCTGAAGCGTGAAGCGTAATTGCTCGTTGGATTTTTCGAGCCACTGTTGGCGCAATTGCTATTCATACACCCGAGTTCTAGTATATCTGCGTCGAAACAAAATGTAAAACCAACGCCATCTAAGATGCTCCCTCCTTCGGCACCGGAGCATCTGTCGGCCTGTTCCACGTCCGGATGTGGCCTGTTTTTGCACCCATGTCAGCACGGCGGCTTTTTTATTTTCCTGATGCTGTCGGCGTGAGGTCAAACTTACCTGACTTGCAGCTGGTGATGATGGCTTCTTCTGTGAATTCAAGCCAGCATAGAGGGTGGGTATCAAGTGCTTTGGACTGCGAGCAGGTCAGCAAACAGAAAGCTTCAAAACAAGCAGCTGCAACGTTAACAGCAAAATGTAAACATACGGATACGGGGGGAAGCATGGCAATTCGCGCACGCGGCTCTACGGCATGCACAACGGTGTTCTCTTCGTCGTCGACGGCACCGCCCGATAGGGTTGAGTTGGACCGGATGCGGCTCGCTGATGTGTTCGCTGTTTCCTGCCTCTGCAAGGGATTGGCAAAGCGTGAGGACACGGAACCCCGGTGGTGAACGGAAGCCTATTCCCGTTCGTCAGCTTTCCCGCGTCTGCGTTTTTGGGTCAAGAATAACGTACCGCTTTGGGCCTGTGAAGCATGCCGACGTTGAAATCCCAGAGACACAATCTGCAATCTTCGCCGACACTGCCGAAACGGTAGTTCCTGTCGTCGCAGCGCCACGGGTCGAACGCTACGGACGTCACCCAAGACTGATGGCCTTGACAGCGCGCCACAATGGCTGATTCCTCGACAGACCAGATGGAGATTAGGTCGTCCTGGCCGCCCGTGAGCACGTACTTGCCGTCCGGAGACCAGCAGACGCTGATGAAGCCACCGTAGTAAGAATGATAGAGATCCAGCAGTCTGTTATCACATGTCAGCGGGCTCGTCCCCGGAGAACCCTGAGGGTAAGATTGGTGGACGTACTCCTCCTTCAAGTAGTCAATGATACGGAGAGAGCCATCCTCCGATACCACGGCCAGATGACGGTTGTCGGGGCTGAAGGCGAAGGCATTGATTCGCTGGTTAGATAGCTTCCATGATGCTACCGGGTTCGTCTTTTGATTCTTGGATTGAATCGACTTGTTGATTTGGATCTTGAGGTTGTGGTTGACGTTACTTGTTGCCTCGCTCTCCCCATTGGGCGTGCCGTTGGCCGCGAGCTCTTCCTCTGGCGAAAACTGGGCGTCCTCCTTGTCCTTGTCGTACACCACCAATGAACCGTCCATGTGCGCTGCCAGAAAGAGGCTCTCGGATCCAGGAATCCACCTGATTTCTGACACCGGCGTGCCATTGATGATACCCTGATAAAGTCAATTGCCTGACTGCAACCACCAGAGACCTGGGACTTACGTTCTTGTTCAAACGGGTATACCGTTGTGATACCGGCTCCCACCAGATGATTTCGCCAGTGGAGAATCCCATAATTACATCGATATGCGATATGCTCTTCGTGATCGTGTTGACGTCGTGGCAGAGGCAGTGAGCCTTGGTGAACAGAATCTTAGTCAAGTAGTCCGCCTGCCGCATGTCAGTGTAGGCTCCGCGCAGAAGCTAGTTGGCGCAAACCATACCTTTGACGCCGACGACAAATCTAGCCATTGGAAAGCACGGTTAATGTTGGCAAAAGCAAAGACTCCATCCGTCGGCCGCTCTTGAAGCTTCTTGGCAAGGCTCTCGTTTACAATTACTCTAGAAATGAACGACGAGTTGCTCTTAGTCATGTTGTTCTTGGGCTTCGGCACCTTCTTCTTCGCAGCGTCTTTCGTGTTGGCAGGCGCGAGCGCCGTGTTGCCGTCGCCAAATGCCGGCGCCGCGGCAATCATTGTCATGGAATTGGGCTGCGCATCGCTCAACGAGGTCCCGCCACCACCGTCGCTGCTGAGCCCAGCCTCAGTCGAGTACCGATCCTCGTTAGGATGTTCCTTAATATCGCCGGTGAGGGACAACGTCGTGGCCGACGAGCCCTTGTAGAAGAAGGGCGGCGCGGCACGCATGTCCAGGCTTATGAGGGAGAGCTTCGTGCCGGCGGTCGCAGGCTGTGGGTTCGTCGCAAGCGGGTTCGGGTTCACGACGGGAGCTTCGGAAGGATGGGGCGGGGGCGTCGCGAGGTGAAGGTCCTCCTTGAGAACATAAGTTCCCTCTCCGACCAGGAATTGGTACTCCGGGCCTTCGGGGTTGGAAAGGATGTTGTTCGTCTCGATCATGGGAGCGATGCCTGGGCCGAGAGTGCCATAGGCACCCGAATGCGATGGGTATCGCGGGGGAGGGGGCAGGACGCTGTTGTTCATGGTCGCACGAGGGCAGACAGTCAGCCGGGGTTCTTATGAGGTTGAAATGTGCTGTAAGAGTGCTTGGCAGTGTGCGTATAGTGCTGCGATGCTGTGCAATGGATGGCCGTCGAGGTTACACGAAGCGCGTATCCGATGGACGCAGAGTACGATGAGGTTACGTCGGGTACTTACAACATGATGGGCGATTAAGTTTCCTACGATCTATGGGAATGCAGTTACGAATTGGACGAGAAGGAAGGAAGCACGCGACAGTCGCAGCAGAATTGAGGTGATTACAGGTCGGGGTTCGGGAAGGTGGTTCGTCGTCGGCTCCGCCTCACGTCACTGGCGGCAGCTGCAGTGGAGGTTTTGGGAGGTTTTGCGTGCGGCACCGGGGCGGTGGAGGCTGATAACGAGGACGGACGCTTCGGGAAGGTCGCACAGAGGGTGCTGCGCAGTATGCGACAGGAAGTGAGGCTTCGCGGAAAGTTCGTTGATCGAATGGCAGCGAGGTCGGGGCTGAAGGATTGGCGAAGAGGAGGAGGAAGTGGTGGTCCGCTGCGCCAACGACCAGACGAACTCTAGAGGTTCTTGAACAGACCTGGCGACCTCATGCAAGGTAGGCGAGGGCGGGAGTCTTTAATACGGCGCAGGCGAGGTTGGGGGAGGGGGTTCAAGGCAAGGAACAAGAGCCTTCCTTGGGTTCGGTTCGGTTGGTTGGAGCAGGATTTGGAGTTGGAGCTAGAGCTGGAACTGGAGGTGTCGAAGTGGAAAAGGGCAGGGCAGGATGGAATAATCAACCCCAACCCAGCGACGTGCTGGTGGTGGTTCCCTTCTTTTCTGTTCTGGTTCGTGTCCCCGCCTTCCATGGCCCCGGGGGCGCTACCTACTGCAGGTAAGGTAGGCCCTGGGGATCACTGGTCAGCCATGTCGTTCTTGCGTGTGTGTCCTCCAGGATAAGCCATCCAAGTTGGCTGCACCTGCTTCATTGACCATGGGCCCCGTGAGGGCAGGTCAAGGTCAGCCTGGGGTCCGGAGAAGGATTGCTGCGACGTGAGTGGTGGGCGGCTGCTCCATTTTGGCGGGGGTGGCAGCACCTCTGGAGTGACGCTGCAGAGCCCAGGCGAGTCGTCCCTGACGCCCGGGTTTAATTGAAAAGTCCACGTTCCAATGGCCGGCCTGCTGTCAGTCCGAGTCGGTGACTGGCCGCGCAAAAGTGTGGGGTAGGCAGCAAAAAGCTGGAGAAGGAGCTGTGAGGCCATTGACAGTCGCTTCACATCCTGAGCGACACTGGACAGGCACAGGATGCATGAGGTGGGGAGGGGTTGGCCGTTTTATTGGCGCAGTCAGTAGAACGGACTATTGGGTCAGTCGTCATCAAAACACGCATCTTTGGAACTGGTCTGCTGCACCACCTCATATGTCTTGGGACGTGTTACCGAGATTTGCTACCAAGTTGTTGTTGAGTGAGCTTGGCCACTCAGGACTATGGTAATAGACATTACGAGGAACGGGGCATGCTGCACATATATGTTCAACTGAGACACATCGGACATGAGGTGGAGTTGAGCAGATGATTTGGATAGGTATCAGACATTGCTGAGGTTGTAAGCGGATCAACAATGCGTGGTGGTGGTGCACCAATGGTTATTTGAAGTTGAGTTCATAGTCCACAATGTATTGTGTGTGAGTGTGTACACAGGTAAGCTCCCCTAGCTCAACCACTGCAAAGTTGTCTCTATCGAGAACTCATTCACTTCTTCCGCCCGAGTAACAACTGCTCAGGACTCCTTTTCTTCCAAAATCTTCAGCAAAAGGCACCAATCATGATACCAACCAAGAAGCACGCATTCCACAGTCATGCACGATAAGACATTGCTGTCGGGTCGTGCTGCACTCAGCCCGCTGGATTGGACATCGGTCGCTTATCAAGGCACCGCACAGCGCTGATCCGCTGATCGGGTGCTCTCTCGGGCGGGTCTTGCATCCCCGAAGGCGCTGGTGCCGCTACCTTAACCGATCCCTTAAGGTACCAGCAGCACCTTTCCAGCTGTCCCCCACCAGAGTCATCCTTGCAATTAAGGTCGTCATTCGAACTCAACCCCCGTCAACCTGCAGATTCCCGTCCTACCCGCTTCAGAGCTTCCCAGATTACATTCCATTGCTTCAACCGAAGAAAGCCACCACCGCACTCCTCACGACCGATCGTACACACAAGCCTCGAGCTTCTAGCATCCATCGCCGTGTCCGCCCGAGTCTCTTCCAACAGCGTTCTGAGACCGCCCTGCCATGGCATCGCAATAAAGCTTTCTCTCTGCCTCTGATTAAGCTTCAACGATCACGAACATGGCTTCTGGTAGGTGGCCTGACGAACAGCTCTGGCCGACCTCGACAGTTTGTCTCCGAGCTTGAAACTGACTTGTCTTGCTTCCATCTAGTCCGAATCTGCGTTTGCGGTGACGAGGGCACCGGAAAGTCCAGCCTCATCGCCTCGCTGGTCAAGGACGTCTTCATCTCCAACAAGATCCAGGCCGTCCTCCCCTCCATCACCATCCCTCCCCAGCTCGGGACCCCCGAAAACGTTACCACCACCATCGTCGATACCTCCGCCCTGCCTCAGAACCGCACCACGTTGAGGAAAGAAATCCGCAAATGCAACGTCATCCTCCTCGTCTATGCCGATCACTACAGTTACGAACGTGTGGCTCTCTTCTGGATGCCCTACTTCCGATCCCTCGGCGTCAACGTCCCGGTCGTCCTCTGTGCGAATAAGTCCGACTTGACTGGCGATGGAAATACACCTCAGGTGGTCGAGGGCGAGATGCTACCCGTCATGGCCGAGTTTCGCGAGATCGACTCGTGCATCAGGTCGAGCGCGAGGGAGCACCGGAACGTCAACGAAGTTTTCTTCCTGTGTCAGAAGGCCGTCACCCACCCCATCGCCCCGCTATTCGACTACAAAGAGGGGAACCTCAAGCCCAACTGCGTTGATGCATTGAAGCGTATTTTCTACCTTTGTGACAAGGACCAGGATGGCTTCCTCAATGACCAGGAGATGCACGAGTTCCAGGCCAGGTGCTTCGATAAGCCGTTGACCGCCGAGGATCTCGATAACATCAAGCTTTCCATCACGAAGACACTGTCGCCTTGGTCGGCAGAGAAGGGCATAGACCAGAGAGGATTCTTGCAGCTGAACAAGATTTACGCCGAGAAGGGCCGCCACGAGACGATATGGATCATCTTGCGCAAGTTCCGCTATACCGACAGCTTGAGCCTAGAGGACAGCTTCTTGCGCCCCAAGTTTGATGTGCCAGAGTACTCTTCGGCAGAGCTGAGCCCTGCCGGCTACCGCTTCTTCGTCGACCTTTTCTTGCTGTTCGATAAGGACAACGACGGCGGTCTGAACGACAAGGAGCTGGAAGCCCTCTTCGCACCTACACCCGGACTTCCTGTTTCCTGGGTTGAGACGTCGTTCCCATCTTCAACTGTACGTAACGAGGCAGGGCACGTCACTCTGCAAGGGTGGCTCGCACAGTGGAGCATGACGACGTTCATGGAGCCCAAGACGACGCTTGAGTATCTTGCGTATCTGGGCTTTGAGCCTGCAAACCCACGCGAGACAACTACCGCTGCTCTCAAAGTCACCAAGTCACGCAAGCGCAGAAGGCGCCCGGGCAAGGTCGAGCGCAACGTGGTGCTTTGCTACGTCCTCGGTGCCTCTGGGGCTGGCAAGTCGTCGCTGTTGGATGCGTTTCTGAGCCGCCCTTTTGACAACCTGTATCGGCCCACGATTAAGCCACGACGGGCTGTTAACAGCGTCGAGCTTCCGGGCGGAAAGCAGTGCTACATGATTCTCGAAGAGCTTGGCGAGCTGGAGCCTGCCATCCTAGAAAACCAGGCCAAGCTTGACGCCTGCGACCTGATTTGCTACGCATACGACTCGTCGGACCCCGACTCATTCTCCCACATTGTCGAGCTGCGCAAACGCTACCCGCAGCTTGACGAACTCCCCAACATCTACACCGCCTTGAAGGCGGACAAGGACAAGACGATGCAGCGCAGCGAGATGCAGCCGGACATGTACACGTCGAACCTCATGATGAGCACTCCGCTTCACGTCACCGTCAAGTGGAACAACATCAGCGAGCTCTTCATCGCCTTGGCCGACGCGGCAACCAACCCGAGCACCGCTTTTCCGAGGAGCGAGGAGCCGCCTCCTGATAGGACCAGTCTGTATCTCGCGCTGGGCGCTACGGCGTGTGCTGGCATTGCCGCGTTCATGATTTGGCGGCGATCAACAACATCAGCTTAGAGGGCACGGTTGACCAGTGCCGTCCACACTTTCAAATTGCGTTTCAGGGAGTTGGCGCGTATTCTGGAGTCTTGGTCATTGCCCGTTGGAACACACAATTATGATACCCAACTCCGCCCTACATATAAACAACAGGATCTTAGTCTCTAATCAACCTAATTGTAACATTATCTCCGGCAAGTTTCTCTTGAGGATCCTATTCGTGTAAGATAGTTCTCTTGTGTCGGTAGTAGTATGTATTCCTTTTGTATTGGCAAACCAACCATTGCTCTTACATGCGACGACGTTGTTGACCTATTGGTTGCTTACTCTCGCAGTGACAATAGCCCAAACGCCACAAACTTTGTATGATTTCGGTCTGCCTCATCGTCGTTTCCTCCACAGTCTGTCTGCTCACACTAGACGTTCCGATACACAGAACTCGTGGCTGTCAAAAGAGATGACCAAAAACACATATCAAAAAAGAAAAGAAAAAGGGTAAAAAAAGGTTGCCCGGCGGTTGGACCGAGCCTGATTCGAACGACCGGGCCCGGCGGCATGTGCCTTTGCTGCCAACCCAGCAAGCAAGGCCTTTCGCCACTACGGCCAGGCCGAGTCGAACGCCCTAAAGGGTAGAGGAGCAGGGCTCCTGATTTTTGTTGAGGATTTGGGGCGCTGGAGGGGGTTATATAGTGCTGTCCCTCCCGTGCTCGAGGTCAGGGTGGACAGGGGATGCGCCTCGATGTCGGGCTGGGCGTGAAGGGGTTCACGGTGGTGGCTTGTTATTGAGGCGTGGAGGCGAGAGAGAGAGAGCACCGAGATGGCCAGACTCATGCTGAAGGATGGCGTGGTGTCTAGGGAGAAGAGGGCAGATTTGTCTTGTCACTTTTCTTTGATACTTCTTTGCCATGGGATAAGGGCAGTTGCTTGGAGCTAGGAAGAAACATTGAGAACCTGCCCCAAGTCATATTACGCCCTTTTGTGTAAGCATCTGCCTACCTCCTTCCGTTCAGGTAGTGGCTTCAGGTAAGACCGGAAAGTTGGGTGGCACACCAAATGGTCAGATCCTGGGGCTGTGTTTGTGCCCAGGAAAGACAAGATGAGGACGCACGCCAGAATGCTATCCATCTGCCTGCATGTAGTAGATCATCGTGGGTCTGGGACATGACACCGGGGGTCCGCCTGCCTGTATTGGGTCTGGGAGTTGCATACTGTTGAGATACCACGAGGGCCGCGTTTGACACAGCTGTCTCAATAGACTTCTTGCTCCGCATACAACAAGGCTTTGGTGAAGATGCGGATTCTTGCGGCCCTCATAGGAACTCTCGCTGATTACCGAAACAGACTGCATCGTCCATTCCCAGACAGAAACCAAACACGGGAGGCCCCGCCTGGAACGAAACTCCAAACAGAACATCATGAAATGGTATTGATGCTAGCTTCCAGCCGTGTACGGAAGGGCGTAAACATAAGAAAAACGAAAAGGAGAACCATAATAGATATCGTAAAGCCCGACACAGGGAATCCTACACATTCCAGCCGTATGTAACACTGCATGGCTTTGTTTCCCGACTGCATTCCCAACCTGGCCGGTGAATCCCATGACACAAACCCAAGACCCGCCTACCAGAAAAGAACCCGAAATGTCTCAGACTCACATCTTACACTTTTTGTACCCGAAACAACAACCACCCAACCCAACCAACCCTTGTCGTTCAGAAGAGGAAATGGAATCTCATAAATAAGCTGTCGGTCCGCCGTAACGTCGTTTGCATGTAATCACCTTTGCTCTTCGTCAGTTCATCAGTCGGCCCCCGTTGACGGGGATGACCGTGCCCGTAATCCACCTGGACTCATCGCTCGCCACGAAGGCGACAACGTCAGCAATGTCTTCGACGGCGCCCAGCCGCGCCTCCGCGGGCGTGAGCGTCGCCCGCTCCAGGTCCGCGCTGCGCTGGTCGTCGGGCAGCGAGTCGAACATCTCCGTCTTGACGGTCCCGGGGCTGATGCAGTTGACCGTAACGCCGTGTGCCTGCCCCATCTCGCGGGCGGCGACACGCGTGAAGGCCTCGACGGCCGCTTTGCTGCCGGCGTAGGCCATGCTGCCCGGGGTGTCGGCGCGGGCCGCCACGGAGGAGATGTTGATGATGCGCCCGCCCGGGGCGATGTGGGCCTTTGCGGCCTGCATCATGAAGAAGACGGCGCGGGTGTTGGTGTTGAAGATGCGGTCGTAGTCCTCGGGGCTGGTGTCGTCGAGGGTCGCGGTGAGCGTCGCCGCGGCATTATTGACGAGAATGTCAATCTTGGTGACGCCAAAGGCCATCATGGCGCGCTTGACGACCTTTTCCTGGTGCTTGGAGACGTCGGCCTGGATGGCCGTGGCGGAGGACCCGCAGGCCTCGATCTCGGATATGACCTCATGCGCCTTGGCTATTGAGGACGTATTGACAAAGGTGAATGCGACCTTTACTCGCGCAAATGATATAACTAACTTTAGCCGCTGTTCACACTGCGAGCGAGAAGAGTGGAATCGGTAGACGCACTCTGGCACCTTCCCGGGCAAGCTTCAGCGCGATGGCAGCTCCGATGCCTCGCGCGCCGCCAGTGACGAGGGCGACTTTCCCGGACAGGGACATGTTTGGGGGCGGAAGCTGGGGCAGCGGTTTCGTCCACAGGTTCGTCGATGAGGCACGCCTCGCGCTGTCGTGACTTTCCTTTTCGTCGTTATTGAGCTGCGACGATTGTATTGCCTGCTGGGGCGGTTGGGGTTGCGTTTGTTGGCTTAGCACCTTGCTCAGTTGGCTCTGTAATAATGGCGGGTCAGCGTTGAGCAGCTCTGAGGGCATTCGAAGGCGGAATGCCGGCGTGGTGCAGTAGAATACCGGCATAGTCTGACTTTGAAGCCAGTGCGTAACGGCTCGGAAAGCCATTTGACTGGGATCCGTAGTCATGGCATTCTTTTCAGTGCGTGCGACGTCCATGCAGATATGGGTTGTGCTGCGCAATTCTGGGTGTTTGAGAGGTGTGATGACGAAGTATGTATGGTGCTTTGCGTTGCGTTGCGGTGCGGTGCGGTGCTCTGCTGCTTGGAGCTGCCAGGAGCTGCCACACCACACCCAGACTGCTCCAGCCAACGTCAGCCTGGCCAAGGCCTCCCGTGCGCTCCAGAGATGGTGTGGCGGCGCGGGGAACTCTGAGGTGCTCTGAAGTGTCGATCGCGCTGGATGACCAATGCAAGGCCGAGGCCAGACCACCTTCTGTCCCCCCTTCAACTCTTAATCCGCCACATCCAGTGGCTGTCTGTATCGTTCAGCATATGCCGTCCAACGATACGCCGAATGGACCGATTGGCATGCAAGGAAGACCGCAGACCCTGGGCGTTGCATCTGTGAGGGTGAGCATTTGGGGTATCAAGCCACACACCACTTGGTCGAGCCGTCACTTGTCTTGCGTGTGAGCGATTCTTTGGTCTGGTGTTGTTATTTGGGAGCATCCGTCCTTTCGACGACAGTCAGATACTGACGCCAACCCAGCGCAGCCTGGCACATGGATTTGGGATTCTGCGAGAATTGGGGTGGTTGATCGCTGGATCGACGGCACTTGCGCGCGCTGGAACATGCACACACGACGAAGCATGATTGCAAACTTTTGAGTCATTGAGGGATTTCTGCGTGCAGGACGTGATGACGGAGGCGAAGAAGATAAGATGACGACAGGAGATGTTCTGAGGATATGAAATCCACTCGTCGTTGAACGACGCACAACACCCGGTCGTGGTCGTGATGGCAGTAGCCAGCGGCGGCCAACGGTCAACGGGCGGCGACCGGCGCCGGGTCTTTATCAGTGGCGGACAGCAGGCGGCAGATGGATGGGATGGCATGCCGCATGCAACGCTGCGATCGCAGATGGGCTGCTTCTGGTTGGCTGTTCCACAAGTTGGTCTTTTCAGAGCCGGCTAGGGCGCTTCGCCGTTGGATGCGATGGCGAACAGGGGCGGGCACCTCATACCGCAGTACATAGTATATGCGGATTAAAGACGGCAGGTTGTGCACTCAGAGACCACCTCAGTGGAAGAGGCCTCGGTGTTTAAAATGAGATTACCGATTCAGGTCGGCCTGGGCTGGCGCAGTGGATACAGGGCTGGTTAGGCCTTGAAATCAAAAGAGACCCCCGGGCCCAAGGTCGCAAAGGGGCTCAAGGGGCGAAAGTGGGAGTCTGGGAGATGACCCCGGGGGTACGGAGACGACGGCCGGCAGCGCCGGTGGTGAATAGGGGCCCGAGGCGGTGACTGGTGACATGGCCGTCGGGCCACCACCACGTCCACAGGCCAAGAGGTGGCCAGTCTTCAGCGCGCTGGCGTGAAGCCTCCAGCCCCTCGTCTCCAGTTCCGCCCCAGCGTGCAATGCTTCGAGAAGGACATGGAACACCGGGGTCGACCGTCAGACCCAGCATGCCTGTGGGTAACATTCCTCGAGCCTCAAGCCCCGGAGAAGTCGAGGAATTCAAGGAACCCTTCGATTCGGAAGACTGCGCTGGCGGCGAGTGACTCCTCCCACTCCGAACTCGACCAGTCACGCCAGTCAACCCGCGGGCAGCACCCGATGATGAGGAGAAGGCACGTCCTTAGCTGAGGAGAAAGGTGCTGTTCCCTGGCATAAAGCGACGAGTTATTCTGGGGGGTTGCCTCGGGCCAGGTTGGTGGTCTGGGTTGGACCCCGTATGTTTGGCACCAATGGGGGCCGCGTTAGTCTCGATTCTCGGTAGCAGCCCGCAGCGACACCCGATGCTGTTTCGATGTCATTTCGATGGGCGACCAAGAGCTAGGCCGAAAGGCGAGAAAGCGGTGCCATCAGAGATATCGGCTGAAGAGAGGCATCGATTCCATGCGTCGCCGCAGAGGCTAAGTCGGGACTTGATACACGGCAGAAGCTTCCGCAAATAGAGGACCAGTGACGTTGGTCCCGGTTGCACATCATGAGCTTCTTTTCTTTGGTCGGGTGTCCCTTGCGCGGGCCAGAAGTTGGTCGTGGTAGTGAGGGGCGCAAGAGATGCTTTGGGAAGAGAGCAGCTTCGGATTCAGCTCTGGTTAGAGAAGGACGCGTACAGAAAAAGTGTAGACTTCGTATCTCGTTTTCTTGTTCCACGGCCGAGCGCCGGATTGTGCAAGCAGAGTTCCTCTGGTCTCTTCTTTTGACGGCGTTGATGGAACGACTTGTGCGGTGCATCATCCATGCCAACACCACCACCACCGCCCACTCAAATATCCGAACCCTGGGGTCGCCATCTGGCTTTCAGAGTAGAGTCAGCCGGAGGCAGTTGATTTGCCTCGTCATCCGGTGTCAGTGTGGTCTTGGCTTGGGAGCGTAATGTGCGGTACGAAGTTCTTTTAAATGAGGCAGCGGTTGTCAGTCATGTTCCGTTGATGACTGTCGCGCGTCGTGTCTTGTCGTGTCGTGTTGCTGGCGGCCCCCGGTTCCTTCGTTCGCTTTTGCATGTTCTCCATGGGCATGGCATAACGGCAGCCAGTCAGTTCGCAAGCCGCAGCCAGGGGCTCTGTCCCCATGATGTGCGTAAGGGAACGGACGGTACGGATTTAGCTCAGGCCACAGACCCGAGGAGGGCAGTCCATCAATCAATGTGGTGTACCTGAGCCGGTACCTGACTGACTGCAATGTGCCAGCTGCATGAGTGAAAGGCAATTCGTCGTTCGTCTCCAGCGTGGGAGTGCTTGCTTGCTTCAAGCGTCTGCATCCCTTCCCGCCGTCGTTCCTTCCTCTTTCGTTCCTCGGTTCGCGCCATGGCCTCCATCGATTCATAAAAAAAAAGAAAAAAGAAAGCAGGCAGAAGAAGGACCAAGACTGATTGATCTGTTGGTCTTCTCTCCCTGTTCCATAGCGTGCTATCAATCTGTACTAAGGTATTCCTTAGTGCCGGCCCTGCTAGTCATTCCAAAAGACCAACTCAAAAACCAGGACGAGCACGCACTTGTAAAAAGTACCTTCACCAGATGGCAGAGGCAGCAGTGACGAGTGACGGACCAGTGGCAGGCAGACAGGGCACGTGACAGGGAGGCGCCCATTCGCGGCAGACCACTTTGACTGGCCGCTTTGCAAAGCAGCGAGCACCCAGTTTGATTGCGCTAATGCAGTCTGGGTGGCGCCCCACACGCAGGAGTACATGCCCGGCGCTGCCATTGGCTTGTACTCGGTACTTATCGCCCGCTGCCTCCACCTGGTTGGTCCCAGCAGACCGCCTACCCGCGGCAGCCCGCGACCGCTCATCGTCAGGGGTCGGTCTGGCCCTCTGGCGCGTGTGCCTATTTGCAGAAGGTATCCAGCTACCTGGCGGCCCAAGTACCTGATCTCCACGACGTGACCTCGACCTTGGTAGCGCCGCTTTCCCGGCCTGTCCATCGTTCTCGCTCGCTCTGTGTCTTCTGTCCGTTCTCCGAGTACATTCACCTGCAGTAGGGGGTGGAATTGACTTGCACCAGCGCCTGCACTGCCCGAACGGAAATCCCAATCCCATTCTCCCAAGACATTTCCTACCACCACCTGGACCCCAAAGTCAAGTCCCAAGGCCCCGAAAACCCAAAAAAGACTGGACGGCGGAACAACAAGCAGCGGTCGGCAAAGGGACTGGGCATCTACTACCATCTCGTCGTTCGTACCTACCTACCTACTTTGTATCCGTACCTAGACCTATGGAGGCCACCACCAAAAACTAGACAACCGCCAACCACCACTCATTACACCCTCCACCACCACCACCACCACCACTTACGGTTCCTGCTGCCACGGCCAGTGCTATTGCTACTACTACCTCCTACAACACAACCACAACAAGCACAGCAGCAGCAGCACGCCAACCGTCTACCCGCCGTGACGACGTGCCCCGTCCTGGCCTGTTCTGTCCTTGTCCTCGCCTATTCCGCGCTCCCAACAGTCTTTTACCGCTTGCTTTTTCTCTCGTTCGCAACGGTCGACTACTCCAGTCTTTCCATCCTTATCGCCAGTCACGTACACCCCGGGCACCTGCGCACCGCTCCAATAAACCCTCGCATGCGATCCCGACCACCGCGACCAACCTTGGAATAGATACATGTATCTGTATCCCAACCCGCAACAACAACTCGCCCCCTCGACCCTCGTTTCCTCCCCGAGTCTCGCCGCGCCTATGCTACCACCTACCCCAGACACATGAGAGCTTGCCGGCAAACTCTTTCAGAACGAGATACTTGCCAGACAAGTGGTGTTTTCAAGGGAATCGCTGGCTTTTCGGCCTCCCTGCGGGTCTTTCACTTTTCTAGATGATGGTGCGTCGCCCACTACCACGAACCCTCGCCCCGATACTCCCCAGCACTTTGGAGGCTCCGTGATTCTCGTCCAGACTTTTTGTCACTGCCTCTCCATCGTCACCACCTGACGGCAGTCTCGGCCGCTCCGGCTCGTGGCTCTGCGCTCCTCTTCCACATCACAGTCGTCGCTAACCCTTTGCCCCCTATGCAGACCTCATCTAGACCCCGCGCCGATGTTGGTGGCAGCTTTGCGAGTCGACGCGGTCATGCCAGCCAGCTGTCAATTTCAGACCCCAGTCACCATGTGACTGAGGCTATTGGGACCCTCTACGGAGACGACAACTACGATCAACGCATGAGCATGCTGGGTCAATACTCTGACCAGTACGAGCCCGAGCCAGAGCCCATCGAGGAAGATCCGCGCAGGCAAATGATACGCTCGGCTTCTGACAAGACGGGGTTGAACATGGCACCAAACGGCACTCCGACCCTGAAAAAGTCCCAGACATTGCCTACGCGCTCCCCTAGCCAGCGAAGCATGTCGTTCGAACAGAATGGTCCCAAGTCGCCCCCCCTCTCTCTGCGGGACGTCAAGAACGAGTCCTCTCAGTTTCCCCTTGGCAACATCGAGAACCCGAACGACATCGCGCAGGAATTGAGCAACTTGCAAGCCCTGAGACGTATGTCTATGGATGTGGGCAATAATGCTGACCCCGACATGCTGCCGTTCTCGGGCCTCTCCCTCATGCCCATGCCCCCTATTGCCCCAACTGGAGACGACGACGAGAACGATCCTTCGAGACTGCTGTGGGTGCCCGCAGCTGTGCATCCCGAGCTTGCGCCGTCAGAGTTCAAGAACTTTTTGGAAAACAGAGTCAATACTATTAAACGCCGGTCAGGGGAGTCCTTTATTTCCAGCGATGGCAGCATTGACCGGAGTGACTCCGGTGGTGGGTTGAGACGAAAGAAGAGCATGCTATCCAGACGCATTGATGCTTCAGACACCAGAGAAGGGGCCAGCTACATTGACGGCGCCGAGAGGCTTTCGCGAAAGAGCTCCCTCAGAGATTACTCGACTCCCGAACTGGACCTCAGCGAACTTGTAAAGGACCCTTCCAAGGTAGTACAAAAGCTCTCCAAGGAGACCCAGTCGGAAGGTGGCGCCGAAGACATGCCGATCCTGCCAGTTGCCCCGGGCATGGGACTCCGCCGTTCAACAAGGACGACGTACCGAAAGAACGGAAGCGTCCGATCCGGAGACCGATTGCCCTTCTCAAAACGTGTCGCCAATCGCCACGGGCACATGGATTCTTCTGACTCGGCGGACAGTGTCCCGCCTCTGCCGAGCGATGTGCCCGATGTGCCCAAGCTGCCCACTCACATTCGCCAACAGTCGGAGCCTGTGTCGGAGAACTTCTCCCGTCCAAACCGCTCTGTACGACGGCAGCACAAGCTCTCCCAGGACTCGCCCATAGCACAGGCCGGCTCCGATGGAACGTCATCTGAGATCGAGGAGCCCGTGTCTCCCACCAACACACGTTCCGAACAGCCTCAGCAGCACCCTACAAGGAAGTCGTCGGCTTCAGCAGACACGAGACAGCCAGTCCCCTCCATTGTCGAGTCGCCTGTCACTGAAGAAAACGCCCAGCGCCAGCAATTCCCTCAGCGGTCGTCCTCGTCGCAACATGCCAATGCTCCGGCTCTATCCCAACAGTCTATGGAGGAGCCTCCTGCTCGTTCAAACCTGCGTCCCGGCTCAGCTCACTCGGTGCAAAGCTCTCACTCGGCCCAGAGTGCGCACTCAGCCCCAAGCCCGACAACGCCCACGATGCCGCAATCGCCGCAGCAGCAACAGCCGCAGATGATGAAGCAAGCGAACGCTTCTAGCCAAAGCCTGAATGACATGTCCTCTCACCCGTCATCCCTCCCTGGCAGCGGTGCTAACCGTACTGACACGTTGACCTTCATTCCCACCTTACCTACAGAGGAGAAGAAGCCAGAAGAGAAGCGGACTGGAGGAAAGCTGCGCAAGGAGAGAGACGATGACTCTGCAAGTGTCTCCTCGTCAAAGTCGTCGGGCGGATGGTCCAAATGGCTCAAGGGCGGCAGTGATGATAAGGATAAGAAGAAGAAGGAGGAGGAGAAGAAGAAGAAGCACTCTGGGGAAAAGACACAGGACAATGCGCGACTGGACGTTTTGCAGAACTCGATCGATGGCGTCAAGGGCAGAGAGAGCATCATTGTGGATCGTGACAACGTCGACAACAAGCTCGCCGAGGAGCGCAAAAAGGAAAGCCGCAAGACAGAATCCAAGAAAGAGAAGGAAGGAGGCTTGTTCTCGGGTCTCTTCGGCGGTGGCAAGAAGAAGAGCGAAAAGGACAGCAGCAGCAAGAAGAACCAGCATCTGCGCGTGTCGGAAGAGGTGCCGTACAGGCCCTTGAAGCCCGATGTGGACTACCACTGGACCAGATTCCCGCTGCTTGAGGAGAGAGCGATTTATCGGATGGCTCACATTAAACTCGCAAACCCGCGTCGGTCGTTGATGAGTCAGGTCCTGCTCAGCAACTTCATGTACAACTACCTTGCCATTGTGCAAGCCATGCACCCCCAGATGCAAGTCCCGCAGTCGCCGCAGCAGAGGCGGCTCGAGGAGGAGCGCCGGCGCAAGGAGCAGGAGGAGCAATACTTGGCACAACAGCAGATGCAGCAGGCTCAGGAGGCTGAAGGTCAGGAGGGCCAGTACGACTTTGACTACCATCGCGTGAGTTGAACCAAAAGCTTGCTTGTGGGATTCACACTGACACAAAACAGGGTGACAGCCAATACGGCGACCATCCTCATGACGAGGTTGACTACGTCGACGACGCTCAGATCTACGAGTACGACCATGGCGTCGACATGCAACGCGGCGATGGCTATGACGGCCCTGATAGCTACGATCCCCAGCCTGGCAAGCAGTATTATCACGATCAGTACGGGCGGGATGCCGGTGACGACGGCAGACGCCGCGGTGATGGACGAGACGACATGTGGTAATCCTGGCGCCTGAGCAAGGCAAGTGAAGCTGCGAAGGGAGGACACGCTCCCGCCAGATGCAGGCCGGGTGTGCGATCTTGGTCTGTGGCTCTGTATAATCCAAATGTGTGTGCATATGGCGGAGTTTGCGGGGGTGCGAGTGCGTTATATATTCAAGAGAGGACTGCGTCGATTGCTTCGAGAAGTTTTTTGCGCAGCCTCCATTTTTCCGTCATGTTATATCCCATCACATCTACTATTCTGTCCGGCTTATCGTGGTGGGTGGAGGAGTTTGTTGAAGCACATGTACACAGATAGCATAGCGGCGGATCTTTTGGAGGCTACCTAGGTTCCATTGAGAGGCGCAGGGAAGAAGAATCAGTTCAAGGTTGCACAGCATACGGTGGATCTCTCGCTCTTCGGTCGTCGTTGTCGTTGGGATATCGCTGCTCCTACCCGAGACGTTCATGGATGATGTTGCTGTGAGGGATCTCGCCCGGATCCGTGAGATGTTTGTGACCACGCCTGTGAGGTGAAGAGGATGAAGAAATTCTGCCTATGCCATCATTGTCTGCCATGAGACAGGCTGTAGATGGAGTCATTGAACAGTGAGAGACTGCAGTCTCATCTTGTGCAAGAAGTGAGCTGAGTCCTAGGTAGGTAGCTCCTGACGTCGGGATGTGCATGTGTCTCTCCCTGAGAGGTCCAGCTTGGGGCGGGCTGGTGTAGGTTATTCGCGCGCAACCAGGAAGGCGGGCTCGCTGCCTGAGCCCCGCCGCTGTGCCTGGAGGTGGCCAGCGCTCTCCAGCGTAGGTGCGTCCCGCTGTCCGCTCCAGACGGGAAACAACCTGGAAGACGTCCAAGGCGGGCGGCGGGTGCTCTGCGGAAGGAGCAATTCTAGCCCCTGCCAGCTCTGTCCAGCCGCGCTAAACCCTTTGGGGCAAGGGCAGCCTCCTGTGGCAGGGCGCCAATTCGTCCGTTCGTTGCTTCCACCTACACCTGGCACTTTTCCCTACCTTGACCTCCAGAAAAATATCACCAGCCTTGTAAGGGGAGCTTGTTCTTTTCTCCGTCGCAAACATCACCGTCTGCTCCTTCCAACCTCATTTCCATCTCCGTTGATACCCAAAACCTCCCCTCCCTCGACCTCCCGACTCGAGCACCCGGTCCAGACGCTTACGAAACCCCCCGATCCCAACCGATCTGCCCCCTCCTCCAGCATCAGTCTCCAGTCCCGACTTCATCTCGCGATTACCTGGACAACCACCTAGCATGGCTGCTGTAAGTTCCCCTTCTCGTCCTAACTCATCGTCATCTGCCGGGGACGAAACAGCTCGTCAGACACCGCCCGCTGTCCTTGCGCTCCTCGTTTGCGTCATTGCTCTCACTGTCGCGCCGCCATGTCGTCGGAGCTGGGGGCGTCGATAGCTTCTCTCCGTCCCTCCGCAGACACGTGCTAATATGTCATCGCCCCTTCAGCCTCGTCCATACAACAACAACCCGGGCTACATGCCCAACGGAGCTTCTTCCATCAACCCCGGCGCCGCGCCGCTCCTTCCCAACCAGGGTCGCGTTCTCCAGACTGGCCCAATCCGTGTCCTGTGCATAGCTGACGTCCGAGGTTCGTTGCCATCCCACCAAACGGGGCCAAGCCGCTCCCTCTGTAGAGCTTCCATCCGACCTAATCTTCACAGGCAACCTCCGATCTCTGAACGACCTGGCGCAACAAGCACGAGCCGACCACATCATCCACACTGGCGACTTTGGCTTCTACGACGACACCTCCCTGGAGCGAATCGCTGAAAAGTAAGGACCCCTCCGCGAATCCACACCCGACCGCTGTCATTCTGACATTGGTACCAAGGACCCTTAAGCATGTTGCTCAGTACTCGCCTTTGATCCACGAGGATATCAAGAAGCAGATTCAACAGGGCGGTCCCGGTCCAGTCAAGAGCCGATTCGCGCCTCACGAGCTCCCCCTCTCCCAGCTGTCTCAGCTTCTGAGCGGCGAGGTTAAGCTCGATGTTCCCGTATACACCGTATGGGGTGCTTGCGAAGATGTGCGCGTTCTCGAGAAGTTCCGGTCCGGCGAGTACAAGGTTCACAACCTGCACATCATCGACGAGGCCCGATCGATGCTCCTGGAGATTGGCGGAGTGAAGCTCCGTCTGTTGGGTCTTGGCGGTGCTGTCGTCATGCACAAGCTCTTCGACAATGGTGAAGGTAGGACCACCATTGCCGGAGGCCAGGGCACCATGTGGACCACTCTCCTGCAGATGGGTGAGCTCGTCGACACTGCCCACCGTGTCTACGACCCCACCGAAACCCGCGTCTTCGTCACCCACGCCTCTCCCGCCCGTGAGGGTATCCTGAACCAGCTCTCCGTCACCCTCAAGGCTGACTTCTCCATCTCCGCCGGTCTTCACTTCCGCTATGGCAGCTCCTACAACGAATTCAGTGTCAACCCTACCCTCGACCACTACCGCGGCAAGCTTGCCGCCTCCAAGGCCTCCTTCAACGACGTCTGGGAGACTGTCAAGGGTGAGGTCGAGCCCGCCATCTCCCAGAACGAGGCTCAGCAGAACCTGCTCAAGAACGCCCTCCAGATCGTGGAGAAAATGCCTACCACGGCCGCTGGTGGCAACCCCTTCGGCGGACCCGTCGCAGGCCAAGCTCAGCTTGGTCAGGTCGACGAGAGCGCCTTCAAGAACATGTGGAACTTCAACCTGGCAGATGCCGCCTTCGGCTACCTGGTTCTTGAGATCCAAGACGGCCGTATCGGAACCGAGATGCGTGCGCAGGGCTTCAACTTCTCACATAGGGGTGCTAAGACGGCGGCGCCTGTCCCGGCTTCGGCCCCAGCTGGAGCTCCCGGAAACCTCCCAGCTCCCGCCCCGCCCTCGACCCAAAGCACAGCTCCCCCTCCTACCAGCAGACAACCCTCATCTCAAGCGCCTCCCAAGCCTGCTGTCGCCACACCTCTTCCCCCTGCTAAGCCTGCTACCCCTCAACCCGCGGCCGCTGCTGCACCGCCCGCAGTGCCCCCCAAGGATGAGCGTCCCGCGCCTGCGGCTGCCAACGGATCAGCCCACGGCCCTGACCCCGTCTCTTCGCCTGCACCCAAGACTCCCGCTCAAGACATCATCGGACTGTTCATTATGAATGTCAGCTCCGAAGAGCAGACGCGCGATCTCTTCGATGGTGAACACAAGGCGAAGATTCTCAAGATTGAGAAGTGGGGTAACTCGAACAAGGTGGTTCAGTTCAAGACTGTCGAGGACCGTGATGCCGCCCTTAACAGCCTGCCCGAGGACCTCAAGACCCGCGCCCAGGAAGACCGCTCTCGTCCCCTTGTCAAGGTGTTCCAGCATCGCGAGACCAAGTTCCAGCCCCGTGGCGGTGCCGGCAACTGGGGAAGCAGCAGAGGCGGCAGCAACTCTGCCAACACTGGCAGTGGCTACCGTAGTGCCGGTGGAGCCAGTGACTCTGAGAGCAACCGCCGTGGCCGTGGAGGTGGTCGAGGCGGCCGTGGAGGCGACCGGGGACGTGGCGGCCGTGGTCGAGGTGGACTCAAGGGTGATGGTGGAGCTTCACCTGCCCCCGGCCCCGCCACACCGGCGGAGTAGGACTCTTCTCTCAGAGTCATTGATAAGAGTGCTGCGGAGGGCGGCACTTGCTCCTCGGAATCGGGGAAGCGCCGCCGTCTGTCCAAGGCTAATGACGTCCTTGCAGCCTTAATGGTCAAGTTTGGCCCCTCGAAGACAGGGGAATGAAGGACACGATTATTCTTTTTCGGTTATGAAGGGAGAAAGGGGGGGCAAAGAAAATAAGTGCTACCAATTCTTGTACGCGTACCTTAATGAGATGAATAGGTGGGGAAGGTCTCTCGGTTTGGGATGTTGGTCCTCGGCTCAGCTTCCCATTTTCCATGTTAGGAGTTCTTCGTCGATGAGAAATAAAAGGCTTTACGGCTTCGGTGGAGTTGAGAGAAAAGCCAGATTTAGTGTTTACCCCTGTCGTCCGTTTTCATGATGATGATGGTGAGGTAGACTATGGTCCGGTGGGCTTCAGATAGAGGCAATTCATGCTGTCTAATGTATTCTGGTCCTTTGTTGCGACCAATGTCCTGTTGCCGTTGACCTGTGATGCGATATAGTCAGTCTGTGAGATCTGCACGCCATCACTGGTCACCGGATAGGTTCAAGGTACTGTTGTACAAGGCCAGCGGCCATCTCATTTACATTCATCTTGTGTGTAGGGAGTCTATCTGACAGCCGCACCGTCTAAGCAGCATCATTTCTTTCTTTTCTTATTAGTACAGATTCAGCATTGTACACGTCTGCCTCCCCGATTTCAGACCACGTTCGTTTCTTTATCCTCCTCACGTCATCATGCCTCCCGCTTACGCCTTGATGGGCTTCATGCCCTTGTGGATGGCTGCGACGCCACCGGTGAGGTTCTCGTAGCCGTCGCCGGCGACAACGAAGCCGGCGTCCTTGATCATGTCGCGGAACTCAGTCTGGCTGGGGAAGCGCTCGATGCTCTCGACGAGGTACTGGTAGCTGTCCCTGTCGCCGGCGACGAGGTGGCCGATGAGGGGGATGGCGCTGAAGGACCAGCGCTTGTAGACGGCGTTGAAGAGGGGGTAGTCGTCGGCCTTGGAGAACTCGAGGCAGGCGAAGACGCCGCCGGGCTTGAGGACGCGGTGGGCCTCGCGCAGGGCGGCGGGGATGTCTGTGAAGTTGCGGATGCCGAAGGCGACGGTGTAGAGGTCGACGGAGTTGTCGGGGACGGCACCGTCGGGGAGCTTCTCGGCGTTGGCCTCGAGCCACGAGAGGGCGGCCTGCTGGGAGGCCGGGAGGGACTTTGAGCGGTCGCGGCCGACGGCGAGCATGGAGGGGTTGATGTCGGAAATTGTGACGCGGACGTCGGGGTTGCGGTTGATGTTGTGCGCCGTGTGGAGCATGCGGAAGGCGATGTCGCCGGTGCCGCCTGCAATGTCGAGGATGTGTTGCGGGGTCGGGGGGTTGGTTGCTGAGAAGCCCGGCTGGAGGGAGTTGACGAAGTGGTCCCTTTGGGGGGCATGTGTGTTAGTCGTGGGAGAGAGGAAGAGGGAGGGGGAAGAGACGTACTTCCATACTCTATGCCAGCCAAAGGACATGAGGTCGTTCATGCGATCGTAGGAGTCGGCGACGCTGTGGAAGACGCCGGCGACGCGGTCGGCCTTTTCGGACTCGGGGACGGTCTCGAAACCAAAGTGTGTCGTCTTGTTCGTGCCATTGGCGGAGGAGTCGGTGTTGATGGATCGGGAGGCGTATGCGAAGGGTCGGGAGAGCGATTGGGGGGAGGAGAACTGGTTGGAGAGTGAGCGCACGCTCAATGGCGTGCGGAGGGCTCGTCTGGTCGCCATCGTGACTGAATGGCTGTGGTCGTGAGGGAGCGCTGGTGGTCCTGGGTATCCGGGAAGTCAGTCGATCAAGAGCTCTCTCGATAGAAAATTTGGTGGAGCATTCACAGTGGCTGGTGCGACGCTAGAATGGTGTTTCCTGGGCCTGGGACATGGGGTCAAGCCACATCTGCTGGGGTATGGGACGATCACCTCGATGCTTCATGTGAATTTCGGCAAAACAAAAATGGACTCACCTTAGACAGTGGCAGTCGCGGTGACTGTAGTAGTTTCTTCGTTTTCAGTGCCCTCGCGCTCCTTGTTGTGGGCTCGATGCTGGGCGAGCAACTTGGCGAATGTGTGGACTTGGTGACGGGCGTAGTAGGCGATGACGCAGAGGAGCAGCGTGATGAAAATAACCAGAATGGCAATTCTTCCCGCCGGGCTTACCATTTTTATGTGTTCCGAGGGTATTGAGTATTGATGTGGTGTTTAGTCGTAAAAGGTGCTTGGCTGTGTGAGGTTGACGATGAGCTCAAGTTTTGGTGGAGGAGGGGATGAGTGCAGTTGCTAGGTACGCGGAGTTGTGTTGGTCGCGCGTTGCGCTGAAGGGTCTGATGTTGTTGTTTTTTCTTTGCCATCCTTGGAAATGAATAACGTCCGAAAACGTCGTGTGTATTCCTCCTTGAGTTCTCACCTACACGCAACGGTCGTCGAGATGCCTCGCTGCTCTCACTTACACCCCGCCGTCAATCCGCGTACTTACTGATAACGGCAAGTGGGGTCTTTGATAAAGAGCTTCATTGCAGGGGCCAATGTCCCTCGCCGCTCTAGGCATCGAAACCTCGAAATGTCGAGACTGATCTCCTCAAGAACCTGAGACAACTTCTGCGTCCCTTTCGTAGCATAATGCCAGGATACTCAAGGTATTTTGAAGGCTTTATTCGGCAGAATATTGGTCTAGATGCTTCGTTTGCATTGCAGACGACTGTCGCAACTTACACAGCGGCAATAAAGCAGCGACGACACTCATTTAGCCCCTGTAACTCTCTGCACTGTCCTTTAAACGAGACCGCCTATTTTTCCTGTGCCTGCGCGGCTATATTTCCTATGTACTTCATCACTCTTATCCGAGACGATAGTAGTAGCGACGAAGAAAACGACGAAGATAACGACGAAGACGACGACGACGAAGACGACGATAACGACGACGACGATAATAGAAGCGATAACGACTATTAAAGCGACGACGAATATTGAAGTACGACGATAAAGTAGAATAGCCACAGGAAAAGTAGTCGATATAGCACAGGAAAAATAGGCGATCTCCTTTAAACGGGCTCTTCTCGGCCCCCTCCGGCGTCGGTGGGCAACATCTTCACTGGCCACACCTACCGAATGCCTTCGACGTCAGATGGATCCGAGCTGGGATGCACAATTCCCGCCCACTGTCTCTAAAGCCTGCAGTAGATGCCACGCGCGAAAAGTGAAGGTTTGAGAAACCCCTGCGCCTCGACTGAAGCTTGTGAACCAAGCGATTGACTGCTCAAAGTGTGACCTGAGAGTCCCCCAATGCTCGGCCTGCGAGAAACACAACGAGCAATGCAACATCACGGAGCGCGTTACTTATTCCTATGCTGCTGTGAAGAGTCTGCAAGATAAGATCAGGGATTTACAGGCTACAATCAATAGCCTCACCCAAGATGCGGAAACCCAGCCTGCCGAGGCCCCGGATGTCAGTCGTTTTGGCGACGTGCGCAAAGAGGCAGAGGAGATTGGCGTCTTGGCCATTGGGAGACCAAATAGCTACGCAGACAGGATATACAGTGAGTCGCTTCCGAGTTTTATTGACACTATTCGTATTGACTATAACCGCAGTGGGCAGTGCAACGGGTTCAACATTTGCCCGCATTTTCTTCAAACAAATCAATCTCGCACCACCCACGCCGAATACCCAGCTCTCATCCGCGTCTCTAGACCAGGACCTGTTCAGAAACAATGCCGCACTCCCGCCTCAGCCGATTGCGCGGTTCCTTTTTGCTGCGTACATCCGTCGAGTTCACCTCTGGTGGCCATTCATCTCGCTTCCCTTTCTGAGAAGCACCATCGGCCACTTATACGAGGACCCCGCGAGATGCAGTCTCTACCAAAGGTTCTTGGTCCTTATGGTTCTTGCCCTGGCATCTTCACACTCGGCTGGCAGCCCGGAATACCGCCGCATGCTGGACGTCAACAGCCCGGCTGACTATTTCCAAACCGGTCTGCGCTTCTTTCTTAACTTCCACGACCATTCGCGGGACCTCCAAGGTTTACATTCGATACTTCTGCTTAGTCTGTGGATGATGAATTCGAATGTGAGGAGTCATGGAGATGACCTCTGGCATCTCAGTCGATATGCCATGTCTGTTGCCATTGAGATGGGTCTTCATCGCCGGTCATCGTCTGCGGGCAGTTTCAGTGCCGAAGACACGGAAATCCGTAACCGTACGTGGTGGTGCATATACAGCCTGGAGAGGCAAGTCGCGGTCATCACCGGTCGAGTCTTGTCTGTTCGCGAACACGCAATCGACGCGCCAAAACCGATGCTCAGCAGCTTGGATAATCTTTCGAGCTCAGAAGCACAGGCGGCACCTGTTGCTCACCGACTCAACGTCCAACTCTTCAACCATCTAGTTCGACTACGCCGAATCGGCGGCCGTGTGCTGGAGTCAGTCTATATCGCCAGAGGACCCGATGGCCGGGCGTCCAAGACCACGTTTCAACAAATTTGTGATGAAATCGAGAAGATTCAACAAGAACTACAAAGCTGGAAGCGAGATATTGAAGGTCTGGACGTCAAGGGCACGCGGGAATACTCGGAGATGAAGGTCGAGTACGGCCTTCTTCTCTTGCTCATGTATCGGCCATCGCCCACCTTCATGATTCCATCACGGGAGATGGTCGAAATCTGCTCTCGAGCTGTATCTGGGACCGTACGCCAATGGTTGAAGCTAGAAACCCAGCATGGCATAGGTGCCGTTTGCCGATGTTTCCGTCATGTGCATGGAGTTCTGATGGTAGGACTGGCTGGGCTTTATTGTGATTGGTAAGTCTCCTCAATGTCACCGATATTGTGCCGTCATTGTTAACGATCTTTTCAGGCACACCAAGACTATGGCTCGAGATGCCGATGCACACGTGCTCCACGCCCATGGAAACGACGTGGCTGCATGCATCGATCTTATTGAACGCGGCATTGCTTGGATGAAAGAGGACTATCTCCTCAAGCACCGCGATCTTCTGCAAGCCGCGAGACTCAAAGTATACGGGCCCTTGGCCTGGGAACCGACGAGCCCTCAAACACGTTTTACGGACTTGAGGCCGCCGGCTGGTACTGCTGACACCCTCGGCATATTCGAACCGGACGACATGCAATCTCAGCTCTTTTTCCAAGGGGAGGGATTGGAAACCTATGTCAACCAGGTCACGGGGTATTTCGACAGCAGCCAGGTCAACTTGGACGACGGCCTGACGGCGTGGTATGGTTCGTTCCTGGACGAATTCCAACCAACCCAAACTGCCCAGCAGGAATGAGCTAGTGGAATTGCATAAGCGGCCCAAATGACTTTCGGGTGACAGATGAAATGACGGTTCATAATATCCACCGGGCTTATCGGGTTTATTGACGGCGACGCTCCCCAGAGTCAGGAGTCGCGGTGGAGGCCGAGCAGAGCGGGGCCAAACTCGGCCAAGTCCAGGCACTTTCTCGGTGTCGACCGAGCCCTTGTCGCCGTTATTTGCAGCTTTGAACTTGCGAATCCGGGCAACCTCTGAAGATAAATGTGAACCAAGTCTTGTTATCAGTTGCGAGCCTCTCTAACTCAACTCGGACCTAGACGCCAAGACAGATTTCACAGAGCTTATCGAACCACGTTGGCAGTCACCCCGGACCACCGAAGACACCATGTCTGAGTCTCAACCGAAGAGCCAAGCGGCCAATAGCCACACCTCTGTTCTCAATCCCAAAAACGCAGCCATTCTGGTAAGCCACTCTCGTTGACAGTAAAATTTGGGAATGCTAATGCTTTACAGGTCGGTATTCGCGATGGCGTTACCAATGACTTCCGCCTAGTTCCAAGAGACCAGGCGGTGGTATCAGTCTTTGACTCCAACTTTCTAATTGGCGATGGCATTTGGGTATTTGACCCTGAACTCTTCATAACATATCCAAACTGACGTTCCAAACTCAGGAAGGAATCCGCGCAGTCAGGGGTCGCATCCAATTCGCCAAGGAACACATCAACCGCCTGTTCCAATCCGCAAAAGCCATGTACATGGACCTGGGCCTGACAAAGGCCGACCTCCTATCTCTGCTGCACCGTACCATCGACGCAAACGACATGGGCGACGAGCCTCACGTCCACATCCGCCTCGTCGTCAGCCGCGGCCTCAAGTCCACTCCCTACCAGAACCCGCACGTCAACATCGGCCTGCCGCTCATCGTCATCATCCCCGAGATCAAGGCCGTCGACCCCGCGGCGAAGGAGCGTGGCCTGCGCCTCGGCACGACCTGGGTGCGTCGCGGCCCGCCCGACGTCAAGGACGAGCAGTGGAACCACATCTCCAAGGCCACGGACGTCCAGGCCTGTGTCAGTGCCAACGTGATGGGCGTCGACGAGGCGTTGATGCTGGACATGCAGGGCTTCGTCAAGACGTGCAACTCGGTCAACTTCTTCATTGTGCGAGGGGATGAGGTCTGGGCGCCGACGAAGGACAACCAGATGCAGGGCATCACCCGCCAAAAGACCATCGACGTCTGCCGCGCTGCGGGGATCACTGTCAGGGAGCTCGATTTTGCGCTCACCGAGGTTTATGGCGCTGATGAAGCGTTCTGCACGGGCACTTTCCCGTCACAGATCCATGTCACCGAGGTCGATGGACGGAAGATTGGGGATGGAAACAAGGGTCCTGTCACTGCGGCCATTCAGAAGTTGTACGCAGCGGAGGTGACGCGAGATGTCTCCAGGCCGAGGGAGGCTATCCTGGCCGACTTGGAGACACCTCGAGACCTCAGTGTCTTGAAGCGGTTGAAGTTGTGAATTTCTGTTAAGCGACGCTCAATGACCGATAATATGATACCAAGACTACATATATGGCATTTGAATACTGTTCCCGGCTTTTATCTAGCATTCATACCTGACGGACATCCCAGAGACTATGTGTGATATTGATTGAACTCAACGACTTACACAACTCCATCCAAAGGTTTTGTTACGGTTCATTTATTCTGTCTTCATCGTTGAAAGCATCAACCGAGCGGATGGCGGCCGACTTTGACTGAGATTCCTCAATAATCCGATCGGCATATTATTCCACATCATCCATGTCGCGGACAGTGGGCGCTGCTCCATGACTCGGATTCGGACTGGTCCGAGATATCTCTGTCAATCACCGAACGTCGTCTCGGTGGAGACCGATGCTGATTGCGTGATCCCGTAGTGCGATTTCGTCAATCAGTGTTGAACGCGTTCTCCATATCGAAAACGCCAACCTGGATTTCCATTACCCAAGATAATGGATGATGTGAGAAGGCGAGATGAAATATCTGCGCATACCCTTTTGAATATCTTGGCCTTCATGGCGATTCCTCTCGTTTCTTACTTTTGAGTCTTTTACCCGGCTTCATTCCTTATCTCGATTTGGTCAGTGGGTTCCGACGTTTTGTACGATAAGAGGTCTCTTCGACTTACACGGCATCTCTGCATTTCCCGCATCTAACACCGTTGGAGACGACTTTTCAAGATGGACCCGAAACCGGTGGCCGACAGCAAGTTGACGGAGCCTGCAGTGCTCAAGGATTCTCACGATGAAGTGCCCTTCGACCAATCCGAGTCGCTGAAGCCGGCAGTGAACAGGCGGTTGCTGATGAAGACGGATCTCGTGGTCCTGCCTTGTCTCGTCATCAGCATGACGTTGGCCTTCCTCGACAAGGTAAGACGATGCCAACCGCCAAACCGAACCTAGATGCCAGCAGCTGACACCCGGCATTGGCATAGAACGCGCTCGGTTTTGCCGCAATCTTTGGCCTCAGGACCGACGCCAACCTCAAGGGCCAGGAGTACTCGTGGCTGGGCAGCATCTTCTACTTTGGATACCTGGCCATGGAGCTGCCCAGCCTGTGGCTCATCACCAAGGTGCCCATCGGAAAGTACATCAGTGCTTGCCTCATTCTCTGGGGCGCCGCCATCTGCCTGATGGCGGCTTGCCACAACTTTGCCGGGCTGGCGACCATCCGCGTGCTTCTCGGAATCTTCGAGGCGGCCCTGCTGCCGTGCATGTTGGTGCTGAACTCGACTTGGTACCGCCGCGAGGAGCAGCCGCTCCGGACTGCGCTTTGGCACAACACCTTTGCTGGCGTCTTTGGCGGTATCTTGTCGTATGCTATCGGCAACATCAAGGGGTCGTTGTCTACATGGAAGGTGGGTGCTGTTCACGGACTGGAAATTGAATGCTGCTAATTTGATATAAGTACATCTTCATCATCTACGGAGCCGTCACCATCTTCACCGGCTTCATCATCTTCTTTGCCCTGCCGGATTCCCCTGCCAAAGCCTGGTTCTTCACTGAAGAGGAGAAGAAGGCAGTCATCATCCGTCTGGCGGAGAACCAGACGGGTGTCGACAACCACAAGGTAGGTGACAGGGGAATTTCCTTGTCTGAACGAGAGAGGAAGCATTGCTAACGAGAAGGCTCCAGAAATTCGACAGGAAACAAATCATCGAAGCCCTGAAGGACCCAAAGTGCTGGTGCGTCTGGGCCTGCGGCATCGGCTACGCCATCGCCAACGCGGGCATCACCAACTTCAACCCGCTCATCATCGCGGGGTACGGCTTCAGCCAGACCAAGACGGTGCTCATGGCGACGCCGCAAGCCGCCGTCGCCATGGTGGCCGGCGCCGTCCTGACCGCCATCTCGCACTTTGTGCAGAACCTGAGGTGCTTCTTCTGGATCATCTCTGCCCTCATCGGTCTCGCTGGCGCTGTGATGGTGCATACCCTTGATGTGACTTCTGCGCGCAACGCATCGCTAGGTATGGAAAGGGACTGCTATCGTATAGAAAAATGAGACTGATGAGAACCCAGCGGGCGTGTACATCATGGGGTTCTACAACGTTCCGTGGGTGTTTATGCTGAGTCTCAACTCGTCAAACACCGCGGGCGCGACAAAGAAGAGTTTCATGGGTGTCTCTGTCGCCGTATGCTATGGTAAGTCGCAATCAACTCGCTGGAGCGTTTAAGAATGAGACTGATAGATCTTGTGTCGTAGCTATCGGAAACATCATCGGACCGCAGCTCTTCCTCTCCAGCCAGGCCCCGAGATACCCCCTGGGCATCGGCGCGATGATGTTCGCGTTTGCCCTCATGGCCGCTTCGGGCGTGGCATACTACGTCTTGTGTGTTTTTGAGAACAAGCGCCGCGACGCACAGTATGGTATTCCGGAAGACAAGGTCCAGGCTGGCCTCGAGTCTGAGAGACAGGATAAGACGGACTGGGAGAATAAGGGATTCCGTTACACCTACTAGATACCCTTAATATATCGAGGCAAACGTTTGCTTTCTGGTCAACGCTATTAATCATCCATATTGTGGCTGAGAAGCAAATGTGAAGGATGCATCGCAATGTCAGTGCAAATACTCTCACGATCCATGCTCATCGGATATTCGGTCTGCGGCCTTCACCGAAGAACCGTTACGGTGTCGCATCCGTACCGACAGCGCAGCAAGACGCATAAACTCGCCGCAATTAAAAACGGTAAACAGCCTCATTTATGCGACGGGCTGTCAGTTTGATCCTCAAACAGTAGAAAAAGTTGAGCTCAAAAGCGCCCCCCAGACAGGTGTATCCAGCACGGGGGAAAACATAACTTTAATATCAGCGCCCAAATAACGATGCATCTCGCAATCACCTCCCCTGTCCAAGGTTCGTTCGGTTCCTTATCGGCTCCTGCCACACGCGGGGCGCGGGGGTGGTTGCGGCATGGGACGGGTGGACTGGGCCGGGGGATAACGCTGCGGATAAGGAGATAAACGAAGGGCAGCTCGGCTCGCTTTCCTTCGGCTCAGCCATGACGTCGCAGCGCCGGCCGACGATAGACGACTCCCGCCGTCGTGAACAAGCCGCTGCTGCTAGATGTCTCGGCTTCCCGCTCCCTCGATCCCTCTTTTGTTATCGTGGGATTGAGTGTCCAATTCTCTTGCTGCCAGTCTCTTGAGAGTGCCGTGTGTCTGTTCAATCGCAGAGATGAGGTCTTGCAAGATGCTTCGCCGTGCACCCCTGCGCGGGGTCCTTCCACGAGCCTCCCCGGCGACCGCGACGATGCCCTTCGCAGCAACCCCGAGCCGAGCTGCGAGCAGCCTCTCCCAGCGGCCCAATGCGAACCACGTCTCCTTCCCGGGCGCCGTCAAGAGCGCCTTCACGAGCACGCTCAAGTTTGAGACGCCCGGCGAGTACCCGGCCGTGCCAACCTACCGCGTCGTCGACCAGAACGGCGCCATCGTGGACGACTCGTTCACGCCGGACCTCGGCGAGGAGGAGGTCGTGAAGCTGTACAAGGACATGGTCTTCATCTCGGTCATGGACCTCATCATGTTCGACGCGCAGCGTCAGGGCCGGCTGAGCTTCTACATGGTCTCGGCGGGCGAGGAGGCGCTGAGCGTCGGCTCGGCCAGCGTGCTCACGCCCGAGGACGTTATCTTCTGCCAGTACCGCGAGCAGGGCGTCTTCAAGCAGCGCGGCTTCACGACGGCGGACTTTATGAACCAGCTGTTCGCCAACTCAAAGGACCCCGGAAGAGGGAGGAACATGCCGGTGCACTACGGTAGCAAGGAGCTAAATATTGTGGGTGCCTCTCCATTCCCCCTGACTGCCTCGCCGTGACTGACCATTCGATCAACAGCACACGATTTCGTCCCCGTTGGCGACGCAGCTGCCGCAGGCGTCGGGGGCGGCGTACGCATTGAAGATGCAAAGGATGCAGGACCAATCGATACCTCCGAGAGTAGTCGCGGCTTACTTTGGCGAGGGCGCCGCCAGTGAGGGCGACTTCCACGCCGCCCTCAACATCGCCGCCACGCGGTCGTGTCCCGTCATCTTCATCTGCAGGAACAACGGCTATGCCATCTCAACGCCGACACTGGAGCAGTACCGGGGAGACGGTATCGCCAGCAGAGGTCTGGGATACGGCATCGACACCATCCGGGTGGATGGCAACGACATTTGGGCCGTACGGGAGGCCACCAAGAAGGCGCGTGAGATGGCGCTAGAGAACGGGGGCAGGCCCGTCCTCATCGAGGCCATGACTTACCGCGTGAGCCATCACAGCACGTCGGACGACTCATTCGCCTACCGTGCCAGGGTCGAGGTGGAAGACTGGAAGCGGAGGGACAACCCGATCACGCGGTTGCGCAAGTGGATGGAGGCCAAGGGCATGTGGGATGAGAACAAGGAAAAGGAGTGCCGCGACTCCACGAGACGGGAGGTCTTGAAGGCATTCAAGGAGGCTGAGAACGAAAAGAAGCCGCCCATTCGGGGCATGTTTGAAGATGTTTACGAAGAGCTGACGCCGGACTTGAAGCAGCAGATGACGCAGCTGCGGGAACACCTCGACAAGTACCCTGACGAATATGATTTTAGTGAGTTTGAGGGCGGCAAGGACAGTCTGAAGGCGTAGACAGAGGTGTGCTACTCACGCGATATCTTGGTGTATGACAAGAATTACACAGACGGAGTTCTCGGCGCCGCAGACATGTAGGGCTTTCAATGAATAAGCGAATAGATGCCAAAAACATCCGTATCGGTGACCGAGCTTCAGTGAGCCTTTTTCTTGGTGGCCATGTTGCTTAGAAATGACCAAAATCGACAGCCCCATCCACATAAGGTCCCTTGATGGCGCAACAGGAGTCGCAGATTCCGTCTATCCACTCTGCTTGAATCAGCTCCGTCAGAATCTGGGGCCCTAAGCGCAGGATGTGGAGGTGCAAACGGAGACAGGGTTCCGTAATGACATGGCGCTATGCGGTGCGGTAGCGGAGCGATAGGCATGTTTGCACTGCTTTCCGGGCCTGCCAACCACTGCCAACCTCCTGTCACCGGGATCAAGCTGCCAATCTCAGCACTGTTGCTGCATCGTCAGGATATACGGTCGGACGCTGGGAGGGCGCTGGCAGCAGTGGCTTTGGGTTCCTGGGGGCAGCGTGGTGGCACGTCCCTGATTGACACCCTTGGACGGACCCAAACGGTGGGCGTGGCAATGGGAGACGGTATCATGACATAAGGGCGGCTGGCGTTGTTGGAGCCAAGGCGCTTTGCTGCAGGGATCCCCCTCCGACTGTTGAGTTGGTGGTCCCGAACGCCCAGTGGCTGCTACCTCTGAGCCGTTCTCGCAGGAGCAGCAAAGAATGGGTGGCACGAGGAGGAATATCAGAGCCGCTTGGTACGTGTTGGAGCCTGAGAAGGGCTTGTGTGTCTACCGGCCAGTGCCTTGTTAGCGGTGGTGCGCGTGATTGATAGAGAAAAAGGCGTCCATACCGTTAGGTATCCGGCGAGTGTGTGTGTGTGCCAAGGTGTGTGTGAGAGAGTGTCGGTGTCGGCCATCAGTCATTTCAGTGCGAGCTGTGTCCGCATGGTCCAGGTCCAGGTTCAGCCAGTTCCATCCGGGGCCAGTCACCTTTCCTCCATGCTTGCTTCCAGTCCTGCATAACTTCAAGCCATAACTGTAAACTCCCCATTTGCAGTATCGACTTTTTTTCGACGACGCCGACGACGCCGACGACAACGACGACCAAGACGATAGCGACGTCCCCTGATAGCGACCGCCGAATGCCCCTCGACTGTCGATGATTCCCCACGACCGAAAGATAGCTCGTTCGATCAGTTGATTTGGTCGGCCGACAGCTCTCCCTCTCTCCCCTCCCCTCACTCTACTCTCTCCAACGCCCTTGCTCCGCTGGCCGTCTCCGAACGACGGGGCGATCACGTTCGAACGCACACCCATCTCATAGCATCGATATACCGCCGTCCCAATCGCCAGCACTGCTCCAAGCTGCCCTGCCTCATGGCGTAATCCATGGCAGAACGAATCGCCGCTGCAAATCCGCGCTCCAGATCGGTAGTCGACCACGATCCCCCCGCGCGCCTCCCGCCAACGCCGACGATATCGTCCTCAGGATCGGGCTCTCCCGCCTTAGCCTCCACTTCGCCTTCCCAAAGGTAGGTCACTTCTTTTCCCCTGCTCCGGTTTGTTTGTTTCGATCCCCTTACACTGCTTTGTGCATCGCGAGAAGTCGAAGAGAGGAAGATATCGGAGAGTGAAGAAGGCAAGAGATCACAAAAGAGGAAAGAGGCATCGAGTAGCAGCCAGCAGAGGCAGAAGCAGAAGCAGCAGCCCTGCTCTGCTGTTCAAAAGCAGGAGGAGCGTTCAAAGTTGTGTCGCGGGGGCAGTCACCACCAGTCACCGGTCACCGGTCGCCGGTCATATCGGGGCTTCCCTCCTGTCTGCCTGTCTGCTTGTCTGCTTGTCTGCCTCTACACCACCTGCCCGCGCTGTTCACCTTCCCATCTGCTTTATTTTGATCCTCAAAACCAAATCAGCCGGTCTCTGCCTCAGGACTACCCTGGTGTACCTACCTGGGTTCCCGGCTGGCCTGCTTAGGAAGCTACCTGCCTCCAGCCTGGTACCCGACCTGTTGGATCTCCAACTTAAGCGGGCCTGGTCTGTCTACTTGTCTACCTACCTTGCCTTTCGGTACATTCAGGCACCACACTGCACCGCACCTTGTCTACCTACCCTCAAGGGCCAGGAAAAAAAAAAGGCCTTATTTCCCAACATTGAAACAACGCCTGCATCGCGCCGTCTACCATCCGCGACGCCGCTTTTCTGGTTCTCTGCCCGACACATCTCTCTTCGTCTCCTCCTTCGTTCCTCCCGCCTATCTTCTCTCCTCGGGTCATTTCTAGATCGATGCCACCGACCCCTCCTCGTCTCCCCTGGTCCATCAAATCCACCAGACCTTACACTGTACACCAGCATCCACCCTGCACCCACGCTTTTCCGACCCTGGCTGGAGACACAGATGGCTGGCGGCATTCTGGACTGCCAACTGACCCTTCTCTGATCTGACTTGATTCTCATTTTTTTCTTTCGTTACTGTCGGCCATGCCTCGCAAAAACCAGTCACTCATGTCTCCTAGAATAACTAGATCATCTGCTCGACAAGCGGCAAATATCGCAGCTTCATCGACACAATCCGCTACAGGCGCCGATCCCGCCGCGAACGCCCCTGCACCCGCGAGCTCCAGTCCTCAGAACCCTACCGCCTCTGCGTCACGGAAGCGAAAGGCTCCAGCTCAACCACCCAGCCCTACTCCGGGAACGCAGCAATCCTCGACCGCCTCGACCAGAAGATCGAAGCGTCAGAAAGTTGCTGAGCCTCCTCCACCACCTCAACTTTCTACACAAACACCTGCTCCTCCCCGTTCCAAGAGGAAAGACAAAGCAACCGCAGCCATGTCGAGCCCAGAGTAAGTCCCACGTGCTCAATTCATCTCGGAAACATCATCCTGACAGTGTCCAACAGCACCCCTTCGGGCCCAGCAAACACATCAGAGAACACCGTTCCGTCAGGGTCATCGAGCCGCAAATCGAGCAGAAGCAAGAGAACCGCCCCGAGTGCAACAGGTACATCAAGCTCAAACAACCGTTGGCTCGTGGACTGTAGTACTGACTCGAGCCATTCAGATCCGTCTGCCAACACATCAGGCTCTTCTCGTCGGACAAAACGAAACGCTACGAACAACGCTGATCAAGATACTGCGATGACGGGCACAGACGAGGCAGAGAAGGAAGGAATCCCCCCTCCACCACCACCACCTCCCGAACATAACGACGACGATGAAGATAGTGACGACAATGACGACGACGATGATGCTCGGAGGTACGACGACGACGATGATGACGAGGACGATGATCCGTTCGGTGGTTTTGGAGGACCCGGAGGTCCAGGAGGACTGTCCAGCACCTTGCGAGCACTCACAGGCATGATGTCGGGCTTATCCTCCCGACTGCGCGAGCTGTTGAGCAGCCTGCGTCAAAAGGATGACCCCTCGATGCAGCTGATCGCCCTACAAGAACTTTCCGAGATTCTCCTGGTTTCGAACGAGGACAACCTGTCCGGCCACTTTTCGCCAGATTCATTCGTCAAGGAGCTCGTCATACTGATGCAGCCTAATGAAATCACTGGGGAGGAAAACCCCGAGATTATGCTCCTGGCCTGCCGCTGCCTGGCCAACTTGATGGAGGCTCTGCCCGCAAGCGTCGCTAACGTTGTTTACGGAGGTGCGGTACCTGTCCTCTGTCAGAAGCTGCTGGAGATATCCTTCATTGATCTCGCCGAGCAAGCCCTGAGCACCTTGGAGAAGATTTCGGCCGAGTACCCCTCCAGCATTGTTCGCGAGGGCGGTCTGACGGCCTGCCTGTCGTATCTGGATTTCTTCGCGACAAGCACCCAGAGAACAGCTGTGACTACAGCCGCAAACTGCTGCCGAAACATACCCGAAGACTCGTTCCCCGTCATTAGGGACGTAATGCCGACTCTTCTCAACGTTCTCAGCAGCAGTGATCAGCGTGTGGTGGAGCAGGCGTCTATCTGTGTCTCTGGAATCGTCGAGAGCTTCAAATATCAGTCCACGAAGCTCGAGGAGCTGGTCAGCGTGGACCTTTTGAAGGCTGTTCTTCGGCTACTTGTACCAGGCACCACCAACCTCATTGGGCCTAACATCCACACTCAGTTCCTCCGAGTGCTCGCCTTTACAGCTCGTGCCAGCCCTCAGTTGTCAGCAGAGCTTTTCAAGCTCAACATTGTCGAGACCCTCTACCAAATTCTCACGGGCGTGTCTCCGCCCAGCGGGACCGAGGACGTTGCCTCAAAGCTCGACAGCGTTGTCATCATGCAGGCGTTGATCCACCGACCAAGAGAGCAAATCATCGAGACACTGAACGTCATCTGCGAACTCCTTCCCAGCCTTCCTCGCAACGCCGATCCCGCTTACGGTGACTTTGTTGAAATGAATACCACGGAGCCTATTACGCCATCCTCGACCGCTACTGGCAAAGCACGCAAGTCGCCCAACGACAAGCGCATTGAGTTGCTGGATGGCTGCAAAGCGGAGGTCCGCCGCTTCGCTCTCATCTTGTTCCCGACGTTGACAGACGCCTTCTCGAGCACGGTGAACTTGAACGTCCGTCAAAAGGTTCTCACTGCACAGCTGAAGATGCTTTCCAACCTCGACGAGGGCATTCTGGGAGAATCTCTGAAAACTGTTCCCTACGCCTCCTTCCTTGCGTCGATTCTGTCTCAGCAGGATCATCCAACCCTGGTCATGCTGGCGTTGCAAGCTACAGAGCTTCTCCTCAGCCGCCTGGACGATGTTTACCGATACCAGCTTTACCGCGAAGGCGTTATTTCTGAAATCACCAAGCTCGCTGCAGAGGAGCAAACGCCCCCTCCTGCAGAGGCAAGCGCGTCACAGGAGACCAACAACACGGACGGACAAGTATCAGCAGAATCTGGAGACCACTCATCAGATAATGATGAATCTGAAGACGACGAGGAGCACGAGGAGTCTGACGATGGTGAACATGAAGAGGACAATGAGAACGAAGCTCATCCAGAC